AGGATGCGGAGTAGAGCAGTATAGTGGGGAGTGCGAGGAGCCGACATGTACTGACTGACAAGGTGAACAGCATAGGCAATGTCAGGATGAGTGACTGTGAGATAGACAAGACTGCCGACGAGCTGGCGATAAAGAGTAGCATCAGAGAGAAGAGTTCCATCGAGAGGAGTGAGACGAATCTGAGGATCAACCGGGGTAGAGGCAGTTTTGCAATCAGTAAGACCAGCACGAGCCAGAAGATCGGATGCATATTTGGCCTGGGACAAATAGGATCCAGTAGAATCATGAGAGACTTCAAGGCCTAAGAAGTAGTTAAGAGTACCAAGGTCCTTCATCTCAAACTGTTGGTGGAGAAATTGTTTTAGGTGGAGAATACCAGCTTTATCATCACCAGTGATAATCATATCATCCACATACAGAAGAAGAAGAGTAGTACCATGAGAAGTAGTCCGTATAAAAAGAGCAGAGTTCATGAATGGTAGAACTGAACGTAGCAAACCAAGCACGAGGCGCTTGCTTGAGGCCACAGAGAGCACGCTGTAGTTTGCAAACCCGATGAGGTGGAAAAGTGGACCCAGGTGGAGGGTGCATGTAGACCTCCTCAAGAAGATGACCATTGAGGAAAGCATTTTTGACATCCATCTGAAAGAGCCCCCAGTGGCGAGCAGCAGCAGCAACAGCAAGTAAGCTGCGAACAGAGGTAAGCCGAGCAACATGAGAGAATGTCTCCTCATAATTAATACCATATTCCTGGTTGAAACCCTTGGCAACAAGACGAGCTTTGTAGCGTTCAATAGAGCCATCAGAATGTGTTTTGATTTTGTAAACCCATTTGCAACCAATCGCAGTCTTGCCAGGAGGAAGATCAACAAGATCCCAAGTATGAGCTTTGTCCAAGGCCTGGAGTTCATCAGTCATAGCTTGTTGCCAAAGAGGATTAGTACAAGCCTCACGATAGGAGGTAGGTTCATAAGTAGAGAAGGCAGCAGATCCAACAATATAATCACGAAGATGAATAGGAGGTTGAGTTACCCGGCGTGGTCGACCCGTAGGAGGGTCGGTGGGAGGAAGAACCGGTGGAGAAGGAGGTGTGGCAATAAGAGGTAGACCTTCAGGGAGAGCAGGCTGGATGGGATCAGGAGTGAGCAAGGGCGGCTCGATGGAGGAGGAACCTGGGGTTACAGACAAAGCAGTAGGAGGAGGTGTACCAGAAGGGGAGAGAAGTTGTTTGAGCATGGCCTCTACATCCATTGGAGAAAAGCGAGGAGTAGATGGAGCAGGTGACTCAGAGAACCCCACAGAAGCAGAAGCATTAGTGTGATGAGACTGATTCCCGGAAGCAGCAGCAGCAGTGTGATGAGAATGATTCCCGGAAGTAGCTGTAGCAGTGTGATGAGACTGATTCCCGGAACGATGAAAGCTTCCCTGGGAAGAGCCACTGCGAGAGGAGTGGCTATTGGAGGATGATCGGGATGGATTGCGAAAACAATCCTGCTGCAGATGACCAGAACCAAGTTTGTTGCAGTAGCGGCAAGATCTGACGGGGCAATTGACCAGGAGATGGGTTGAAGGAAGGCCCCGATTCTGACAATAGAGGCAAGCAGTGGTCCGCTGGGTAAATGATGGCCAGTATGGAGGAGTAGCAAGAACAGAGTCCACATGATGAGTTTGAAGTGTACCGAGACGAGTCTCCTCTGATAGCAACTCAGAAATTGCTTGTTCAAGAGTGGGCAATGGATGGCAATGAAGCAGAGAGGCACGTATGGGCTCAAAAGAGGAGGTAAGAGCCATGAGAAATTGCACTAACCTTTGCTGGTTGCGATAGATAGTAAATAAAACAGCATCTTCGGGGTTACGCCAAGTTGGTTCTGAAAGAGCAAGCTGATCCCAAACAGAGTACATTTGAGAAAGGAAGCCATTAATAGGCTGAGTGGATTCTTGGCGCATGCGGTGAAGTTGATTCTGAAGTTGATATTGATGGGCAAGACCAGTAGTCTGGTATCGTTCTTTCAAAAAATCCCAGATGTCTTTTGCAGGAGTAGTTACAGAGTCCAGCTGAAAGCGACCAAACTGAAGACTGATAGAGGTAACAGAGATATTACGAAACCAGGTAATGATTTGGTAATTCTTACTATCCCATTCCTCAAGTCGGTCTTCATATGTAGCAGTATAAGCAGTAGTTTCAGTAGTGTCACTGTCTTTCACTGGTTTAGTCATATCTCCGGTGACAATTCGCCAGAGCCTCTTGCCTTTGAGGAAGGAGGACATGGCTTGGGCCCACAGAACATAGTTGGAACCATTTAAAATAACAGAAATGGGATAGGAGGCATCATGACGATCCATAATACTAGTTGAGTAGGGTTAAAGTAATAGGAATAGACCTGTAGGAGCAAAATTAGGTAAAACAGAGTGTACCAGTGAGTTCGGAAGGTCGAAAATAGTAAGGAAAAGTATGCTGGACAGTGATGATGTCAGCAATGATGTCAGCGGCGCACGTTAGCAGAGTGCAGGGAGGAGCACGTTAGCAGGAAGGCGGCGGCGCACGGTAGCGGATAGGCGCAGGCGCAGGCGCGGCGCACGGTAGCTGTTTTGGCGCACGCGGGTGCACACTAGCGAAGCGGCGCACGAGAGGCGTACAGTAGCAGGCGCGGCGTACGGGAGCCGCGGACGTGTGGGCGCGTGTGGGCGCGTGGCGGAAGTGAGCAACAACAGATGGCGCGTGTGAGAGTGGTGGCGGAAGTGTTGACGCGCCGAGGACAAAGGCGGCGCGTGTGGGCGCGTGGAAGGTTTTCTGAGAATGGACTTGGTGCCGTTGGAATCGTGAGAAAATTTCGAGCGGTTTGATGTAGTGCCACTGTGTACGGGACTAAACAAAAATTGCCAGAAATGTAATACTGGGCTCTGATACCATATTAGTTTGAGAGAGTGAGAGAAGATAGAGAGAGAGAGAGACAATGAAAATGAATTGTTTCTATTATGTTGTGTGTCTGTACAAAGAAATGTATGTCCTCTTTATAGAGAGGAGAGGCAATCATAAGATGCCAATTGGCACCGAAAGTATAAAGCAAGGGGGAACATCTAATTATGAAAGCTACATATAATTATTAAAGCTAACATATAATAATATACTATCATAATAATATACTAACAATATATATTCCTACTTTACTATTTGTTTTACATATGTTAGCAGAAATAATTAAAGTTTTTGTAAAATATATAGGTAATGAATATTATGTAACCATTATTACTTCAATGAAAGAAATTTTGATAAATATTTTGATCCTTTGCCTCATTTATTAGGTTTAGCAATAATAATTGATTTTAGGTATAAAGAAATTGGTTTATAAGAATTTTTAGAGTGTCTTTTTACTAATCAAATACAGTTTGCCTCTATTATGCAAACATGCAACAGATTATTTGAAGAATACAGGGCAGTTGTAGCTGTAAATACACCTACACACACTACACTAGCAGTCTCATCTCGAGGCGGGAGATTAAGTGTTTTTTCAGCAATAAAAAGTATAAGCATATCTCAACGTATAAGCGTAAGTAGTTCTGAACTACAACATTATTTGGAAAGCCTGTCAATGGATGATTCCAATGATTTTGACATTTTGGAATAGTGGAAACAAAATGAAACTATGTGACATGTGGTTTCACAGATGGCCCATGATATATAAACCGTTTCTATTTCTACAGTTGCTTCGGAAACAACTTTTAGTGCAGGTGGACGGGTGCTAAGCGATTACTGGATCAGGCTTTCACCTGAAATGGTTGAAGTACTTATGATATCCAGAGATAATATGCATGCGCTTATAAGAAGAAAAAATTATAGTGAAAATGAGCGAATTCAAAATGATTTGAATGACATATCCTCGGGCAACGCGACTGAAATGTCTATCTCCTCCGATGATTGATCAACAATTTATTTTTTACTATTTCGTTTCATTTCATATTTTTTTTTGTATTAGATTATTGAGGTGGAGTATAATGCAAATGATTCATAGGTTAGTAAGTGTCAATGTAGTTGGGATGTACTTGACCTATAGTGATGCAATTGCTCTACCATCATCAGTAATTTACATATAATTTATTTAATAATATCAATTTTTGTAATATTTTATGTCATTTTGAAATAAAAATTATTCATTCAATAAATATTATATAAATAATTTAATATTGTGATATTGAAAGTTTTATTTTCATATATATAAAATTATTCATTTTGAAAGAAAAAATTACATAATTACATACTTTTTTAGTTCTAAGTTCATAATTAAAAAAATATAAGTCATACATAATTAAATTTAAATATCACCATAAAACATTACATAATTAAACAAAATATCTCATTAATCTTAACTAAAATACTTTAGTAATAATATATTTTTTATTTTTTTTATTCCGAGGGAAGACGATGGCCAGAAATTCCCGCTTTTTTCCTCTCTTTTTTTTTTTTTTCCAACTGTGTTTACACATCAGCTGCCACCTCATCACCACGTCACTGGGGTGGCCACGTCACTGGGTGTATGTAGCGGGATTGTAAAAAAAAATCCCATGCCTGCAGCCTAAGTCCAAGGCTCTATTATAAATGGACTTGAACTTGAACCCCATTTTTTAGCTCTTGATCTGGCCCGACCCAGATCAGTTCGCAAGGCCCTCTTGGGCCGGGCCATTATTACATCAGCTTATGACTTTGTTTGGTAGGATTTATTTTCAGTTTATTTCAGTTTTTAGCTTAATTTAAGTTATTTTGATATGTTTGGTTCAGTTTAACAATACAACTTATAACTTTTTGTAAGTCAAAAATCAACTTATTTTTTGAGTAGGGGAGGAGAAACTTAATTTATGAGTCAAAAATCAACTTATATTCACAACTATAAACTATAAACTTTTAAATTATAAATTATAATCGCTTTCCCACTACTCTACCAAACTGGCTATATCAGCCTTATAAAACTTATATAACCTTAAAAATGCTTATATCAGCTTATAAAACTTATATAGCCTAAAAATATTTGACTATTACCATGTTCCCAATTCCAATTCTTCTCCATCTTCCCCAAATCTTCTGTGTGTCCGAATGGTGTCGAAACCCTAACCCTAGCTCCAAATTCTCTCTCTTTCTCTCTCTCTTCAATGGAAGACTCCAAATCAAGCCCCACCAACGACGACGACGATCATTTCTTCGACGCTCTCGAAGAATTCTCCTTCTCCAACTGCGTCGACACGAACGAACCAGACCAGTCGATTTCAAACTCATCATCGTCACTTTCTCAGCTCGAATCAAATGCCGACGCAACACTCAAACCCAAGCCCTCGCCGGAACTTACTGGTGTCCGGCGCCGGCGATCGTGGGGTCGCCATATTGGCAAAGAAACCTCCGGCAACGATTCAACAAATTCAAATCCTAATTTTTCTGCAAGTTTCAATTCCACGACTCCCTTGGAGAGAAACTATGGAATGTCCCGGAATTTGAAGGAAAATGAGAGGGGAAGTGAAAAATCGGATTCGTTTCGGGTTCAGCTCAGCTCAGAAAGAGCTAGTCATACTGCGAACGATGAGTCTGCAGAAAATTCTATAGTTACTACTGCAAATGATGATAGAGTAAATGAATCGGCACGAGTAGATTTGGCTTCAGATGCAACTGATGAGCCTTCATCGAATTTCCTTTTTGTTTTAGCTGGATTTGTGATCAAAGCAATTGGGTTTCAAATAAGCTTGTTGGTTAGTTTTTTCACATTTCCAATATGGTTTCTTTATTGTTCATATATGTTTGTGATTGATCCCTTTCAAGCTGTAAGTCGCGGAAAAGAGTATTTGACGGGTAGGTTGTTGAGAATATGGGGTGTTGTATGCGATAATGTTACGCCATTTATATACGAATGGTTGAAGGAACACAAATCTTTTTGGAAATTGGCTTTGCGGTTCGGTTGGGGGTTTCTGTGGGCTACTTATGTATGTTTTGTTTTGGTTAGTTTGTTGGTGTCAGCATTTGTAGTTAGTGGTTTTCTTATGAGCAATTTGGTGGAGGAGCCTATTCAGATGAAGGAGACACTGACTTTCGATTACACCAAGAATAGTCCAGTTACATTTGTTAAGATCATGTCTTGCCCTGGTGAGCCTTATGGTGTGACTTATAGAGAAAAGAGTGAAGTTGAGAACCTTGGGGGTCAACGGGTTATACCTCTAAAACACAAATTGCAAGTCACGGTTTCATTGACATTGCCGGAGTCGGATTACAATAGAAAGCTTGGGATATTTCAGGTATGCTTTTGGATTGATTGATTTAAATTTGCTTAACATAGTTTTTGAACTGTGATGTGCATCATGTATAGTTTTTCTATTTTACTAAATAGTGAATGGTATCACACTGCAAATTATAAGATTTTTAAACTAGTGTAGAAATAGGTTAAAAAAATAACTATATCCATAAAAAAAACACAAATATCTTTCAAGAATGAAGCATTGGATCAACAATTTGAAGTATGATGTCAGAGCCTTAGAGGCAAAGGAATTCATGCATAGATACTCAGATACACATAAGAGGAAGAGTGAACATAAATATATAAGTAAAAGAAGGGTAAATTACACCAACCTCCCTTGAGGTTTATGACAATTACAGAAACCTTCCTTGAGGTTTTTGAAATAACATATACCTTCCCTGTCAATGTTATCTTCCTAACACTGTTAACATAGAGTTGTTTTTACATTTTTGACCTTGACCACACACAAGAACACATACTCTTATTAGGAATCCAACCACACCCAAATCCACTCTTCCATAATCACTTTCTCTATCAAATTTCTGTGTAAATTTCCACCATCACCTCAAATTATCACCCATCCCATGCCCACAGTTTCAGGCTCAAACCACCAGCCCTTCGCGCCAAAGCTCAACTGGCCAAACCACTCTTCAATGAAAACTGTTTCAAGAAACCCCATATTAACATGGGTTTGAAAAATTATTGCAAGAGAAAGAAATTGGGTTGGGGTTTATGGAGAGAGAGAGAGAGAGGTTTTTTTGGCTGGGAGGAGATTGGGCTTGCGGTGGTGGTGCATCAATCACCCCGGCAGTGGCAGGTAGATTTAGGTGGTGGTAGTGGGCAATGGGTTTGTTGGGTGGATTGGGGTAGCAATGTGTTGATGCAGGCTCTAAAGGGAGCATTTAGAGAGAGAAAATGCAGCCAGATAAAGAGAGCTTTTAGAGAGAGAAATTGCAGCCTTTTTCACAACTTCCCTCAGTGGTAGTGATTATGCACAGTGGAGGAGAAAACATGGGAGACGAAGGAGTTTTGGTTGCAAGATGCATGGTGATAATGGTGGGTCAACTTTTGTACATATGCTTATATATATATTTATTTATTTATTTATTGGTAGAAAGAGGGAAACCCAGAAGGAATAAGAGTGGTAGTTTTGCACAAAACTGAGTTAGCTGTAATACATATGCACATTGTGATCAGGAGATAAGATGGATTGGTTAAAATAAGTGATGGTATTCCACTAAATGTAGAATGTGAGAGTTGAAAAATGGAATAAATTTGTGGGGCAATAATACCGTACAAGTCTAGTAACAATTTTTATTTATTTTTTAGATGGTTAGTAACAACTTATATATATGTATTTTCTTTGATTTTACAGGTAGTGAGGTAGGAAGGTCCTGATTTGACGTTATGTGGAAAGGGTTTTGGAGGGGGAAGATGGGTTTTGTCGGTGGTGGTGGGTATGTAAGGGAAGAGATAGATAGTTTTGTCATTTGCTTATGCGTGTCAAGGATATCTACATACATAAAATATGGGTGAACTAACAGAAAGGAGGAAAGTGAAACTCAAAAGTGAACCTAAAGGAGGTTTTTGTTATCTCACAAATCTCAGGGGAGGTTTCTGTAATTTCATTAAACTTCAGGCGAGGTCATTGTAATTTACCTGTAAAAGAAAGATATGACATTTAATCTTAACGAAAAATAAATTTCAGAAGTTTCTTGTCTATACTTACTATGAAGCAAAAGTACCTACAATTGAGAGACATCAAAATTCAAGTCTCAATTTCCATTTTTCATCATTTTATGGAAAAGATGGCTGAATGGTATTGTATACGTCTTAAATTAAGGGTAAACTACCAATAGGTCATAATAGTTGGACTTAATTTCCATCAAGTCCTAGTAAAATTGTCACTAAAAATAATTTCTGTGATATTTTTTGCATGTCATTAAAAATTGACAATTAGTAATTTTTTTGTCACGGTTTTTATAAACTGTCGCTAAACTTACAATTAGCGATTTTTTTTTGTGATGAATTTTTCAAACTGTCGTTGAAAGTTGAAAATTAGTGACTCAGTTTGTGACGATTTTTTTAAACTGTTGCTAAAATTTAACGATTAGTGACGTTTTTTTTATAGTGTTTGATGAAAATCGCCATTAATTATAATATGACATATTGGACAATAAGTCCACCTATTAGGATTTATACGTAAGTCTTTCTAAAACCAACTCACATATGAGTACGTGAACGTGATGGTGTTGGTCTAGTCCCCATACCAGTATACTAAAAGGAAAGAAATGAATAAGAAAAGGTGGAGAGAAAAAACCATTAAGTATTTCTAATGTGTTAAAAATTGATTAAATTTCAATTTCTAGTTACAACATGGGAAACTTTAATAAACCATCTACAATATGATTAGGCTTCGTGTGACATAAATCAATTGATTTAAGATTCTCAATATTGAGAAAGTTAATTTGTGAGGAAGTTACGTAGGCCGAAGTTGAAGTAACATTTGCTTTCTATCTTAGTAAAACTTTTATACATTTTTTTGGGGGTTAAATACAACTTAGTAAACCTTTTATACAAATATTAAAAAAAATAAGGAATCCAAGTATCACATGTATCGTGTATTGAATATCATATCATGTATCACATTTGTATTGTAAAATGCAGTTAACACAACATACATATTAGTGTACATATCAATGCATCCTATGTTACATGGATTTTTCAAAATAAACCAAATACCCATGTTTCATGCTCGACAATTGGATAAAGGTGTGGGTTATGTGTCTGATACTTTCCATCGGACAGTTATTAAATATTTGTATTTAACAATATTGTTATATATATAGTTGTATAATTACCGTAAAATGAGCCAAATGTCTTTTTGGCACTATATGTTACATAAAAACAATGCCCAAATAGCACACATTAATGTGTATTTGAGAGGAGAAAGATTGAGTATACATCTAACCTTTACATAATGCATAAAGTGATTGCCCTGAGATTTGAACCCATAACTTCAAGGTTATTAGGTCAATATTTTACATATAATATCATTTTATCTCACATAATAGATTAAAAATATAAAAAATGTCACTTTTTTTTTGTTGAGTCCACGTTCCTTTAAATTTGAGATTTGATAGGTCTGACCTCTAGATACGCACACGCACCCACACCCGCACCCACACCTAAGACCCAACACCCAATACCTGTACCTTAGTCCATGTACCATAGAATGTACGTTTGAATGCATTGAATTGTATCATCAATCACAAGATATTGAAGACCTTTTTGTTTGATAAAATGTTGAATGGATTGTGCTAGAGTTTAGTTGGATTCGGTTACTATGTATTACCTCATAGATAGTTAATGTGTTTTATATGGAACATTTCTTGGAACAATTAAGAATGTGTCTTAGTTAGGACTATAATGGATTAATGAGTGCAATCTATGTGCTTGCATTTTCTGCAAAGGATTGTTGACCGTCTATTCATCCCTTTTAACATGTGCACGTATGCTAATCAAACAGTTCATGCTGTGTTGCATCTTACCGAATTGTAGGGCATCATTTCAAATTGCAGATTTCTGTCTTATGCTGTATGCTAGGGAGAGAAAGAAGGAGCCAGGAGAAACACTAGCTAATAATCAGAAAGATTTTCAATTATGCATGAAACATGAATTTTTCATAACAGTGAGGGTTACTGTTCGACATACAGAAATTAGTCAGGAAATTCAACCTTTTTGTGTCATAGTTTTTGACAAAAGATGTTGCTACAATGTTAGAATAGTACTTGATGATTATGACTCAAATACTGATTTCTTGTGTTGTTTTGGGGTGCGCGATTGACCAATAATTTTGTTTTGATTAGAGAAGAGAGACATGCTACTGAAAATCATTAAGACACCTGGATGATTAGATTGCACTAGTTCTGTGTTGCGTAGAGCTTGTGCTAAATTTTGCTTCTTACTATATGGTATCTTCTTTTTCTTTTTTATTTTTTCTGCCTAATTTCTTTCAGAATTGATTTGTTTCTCTGTGGTTTCCAAATGCTGTGCACTAGCTTTTAAATTTGTAAGTTCTCCATAAATAATGTATCAGTTTTAGTAGTAAAATTTAAATTGACATCAACTCATTTTCCCCATGAAGGTCAGGGTAGACTTCCTGTCTGCTAGCAATAAAGTCCTTGCAAGCTCAAGACATTCGTGCATGTTGCGATTCGTGAGCCAGCCTATCCGCCTTCTGTTGACTTTCCTTAAAATTGCTCCTCTTGTCACTGGCTATTCATCAGAATCCCAGACTCTCAATGTAAAATTTGGAGGTTTTACTGAAGGAGATTTACCCACTGCCTGTTTAAGGGTGATGATCGAACAAAGAGCAGAATTTCGGCCTGGCGCTGGTGTTCCTGAAATATATGATGCTTCTTTAACCCTTGAGTCAGAACTTCCTCTACTGAAAAGAATTATATGGCATTGGAAGAAAACAGTATTTATATGGATTGGCATGACGGTGTTCACTATGGAGTTGTTGTTTATGCTACTCTGTTGTAGACCTATTATTATGCCTAGAGGAAGGCCAAGAGATAGTCCTGCCAACAATAGTGCTCAGCAAAACAATCGCCCAGCTGAAAGATAGCAGAGACTATATCTTCCGCGGATTTGGCAAATAACAGAAGTAATGATTTGAAATCGCGTAGCTGCACTTGGCGATTTATGTCACTTTTTTATTTTATTGTATTTGGTATGGTATTTCAAACTTAGGTGTTCCACAATTGTTTTATGAGCAATACTAGGTATCATGAAAAAACTTTCATGAAAATGATCATGAAAGATTTATAAACCTTGGATTACACTTAAAATAAAGCACCACACACTAGTCAAGGTAATCCAAGGGTCATAATTCTTTCATGATCATTTTCATGAAAAAATTTTCATGATCCCTAGCTTTTCTCTTGTTTTATAGGTGCAACTAATTTGTTTTATGTGTTCCCTTAATTGTTTTACATGTGCAACTAATTTGTTAGATGTTATCAATAATCATAATCATTGTATATTCCAAATACTAAGAAGAAATTTAACTCAGCTTGTAATTTTTGTCCCTGAAGTTGGCTTGTGAATATGCCTGAGTGCATTTCTGATAACATGGGTTTGTTTGGTTGTGTTTTCGTTTTTCTTTTTTCAGAAACAAAATCATTAAAAAATTCAAAAGCACCTATCATTTTCTCTTTCTGTGCGAGAACAATTTCTGATACGGCAGAAACAACTTTTAGATATTTCTTAAAAAGTGGGTCCTTTTCAGAAATGTTTTTCAAAAACTATTTTTGAAAACTGTTTTCCAAACAAATTTATTGTTGATGCCTACCTTATCCTTACAAAGGGTGTCATAATGTAAAGTATGCTACCATGTGGGGTGGAGTGGGGTTGGCTTTGTTGCCAATTAAGCAGATGACACTTTAATTGATAGTTATTTCCAGCTCATGTTTATCCTCTTTGCTGCTCGATAAAGAGCTCGTGGCAGACAGACAGTTCATCTCGCTATTAAATGGCAACAGTTATAATGTCATTTATCATCTTACTGTCTCAATGCGGTTTTGCAGATTGAAGGGAAGCAAGAAATTTGTTTTGCAGATCAGCCCTGCTCCAGAACATCCTCATAGATATTCAGAATTTAGTGTTTTTTTTCCGTTAATTTATTTTTTTTACAGAATCACCGGAGTGCCACAGGATGTTGTCAAGCCTGCCCATAATCTTGCCTGAAGTGCACTCTTAAACTGCTTGACCTGTCTTGATCTTGGCAACTAACACGGAGATGGTTTCTATCTGCTGTTATTCTCTGGTGGCTTTAAAGCTCTGTTTGTGACCTTGTTTCTCTTGTTTGGTATGTCTCTCGGTTCCTAGTTTTTCTGCTGTTTTACATGTCTGTTAATTGCTTGTTGAACTCTCCCCATTGTATCTCTGGTCTCTTGCTAATGAAGTTCTATATATCTAGAGAAAATTTTTATAGTTCCGTATATGAGTTTACATATGATTGCTTCTCTGTGGAAGTTTTTAGAGCATCTCCAGTGAAAATATTAAAATTCACAAACTGATAGTGGACATAGAATAAAACTAGCCGCTGTTGGCACAAAGTAAATATTGTTACCTTTTTTGTTTTGTTCAAACTTAACAAAAAGATTTGAGGAACTATCAATGTTAAATACCACTTTTTGTTATTCTACCACTCACGCTACCAACGGTTTGCTCAGAGTGATGGGTAGTTATTTGATCAGGTGTAGGGGTAGTTTAGGTATGTGAAAAATGTAACATAACTTCGTTCACATCAATTGAGGTGCTGGCATTACATAATAGTATAGGTAGATAATGTAGAAGGGACTGAATTTTGTGTTAATTTTTATTAATTTATGATCTTAACGCAATCATGCCTCTTGACTTCTCTCTCTCCTTCTGGAGAAACAAGAGTTTTAAAATTTGATAAAGTGATGTTGTTCAGTGTAACTTATGATCTTATTTATAGTTTTATTTATATTAAAAGCATGTGTTAGGATGTTTAGTGTAATTTTCATTTATAGTTTGAGTCAATTGAAAAAAAAATATATATATATTTTTTCAAAAATTGATAAAAAAGTACTTCTAACTTGTGCTTTTGATTGTAAGCTTATCACTAGGGACAAAGAAAAGTAAAGATTTTAACAGCCCTATTGAAGTTCCAAAACACATAATATTACTCCAATCTGTCTAACTCTTGACACTACAACTCTCTTAATATGGAGATGCTTCAATCATCTCTTTTACGCATTGTGGGTCTTAGAAATGGATTTAACAAGTGAACTTCAATATCATTTTCGTTTCATGACCAATGCGACAAATATATTTTCCTTTCATGACCAATGCGAGAAATTCAATTATGGAAACGAACAAGCACTATATATATATGTGATCGGATTTCCATTACAAGTTTCCTATCAGTATAAAACGTAGAAAAAAGGTAACACACATATATATGGAACTTTGTTTTAGAGACTCAGTTAGAACCACTACGACTAAGTCCTAAGCCCTTGAGGAAAGACCCAGTAGTTGTGATTTCCCTCAATGGCTTGTCAGTGAACCTTATGATATTGTACACCCAGGCACCTGCTACAGCCCCACAAGTTGGTGCCACCAAGTATATCCATATGCCCTTGTACTGGCTTGACACTATTGCTGGCCCCAAACTCCTTGCTGGATTCATTGATGCTCCTGATATTGGCCTGTCAACGACAAAAGTCAACTAAGTGAGTGTTGGTACAGATTCTCTGTTCGAATCTCTCCTGTTTTCTACCTCAAGGCCCTTTTTCACCACATGATTGTATCAAAGAGATTGTGTGATAGAAAGAGACTTTGTTTGGATCTCTCTTGTTTTTTTATACCCCAAAGCTCTTTTTCACAACATGATTGTATCAGAGAGATCGTGTGATAGAGAGAGACATTGGAATAACAAGAGGGGAGAGGGTTTGAACAAAGGGTTTGGCCTTGTGAGTATTAGCAATATTTTTGGTTTTGACTACGAGCAATCGTTTCAGTACATGTGGACTCAAGATCCAACATTTGTTAGGGCCTATCTTCTTGGAAATTAAGCCAATTTAAGACCTTGGGTCTACATTTGCTGAGATGGTTGCTTATAGGTTATAATCAAAATCCTACATAATAGTCAGGGACTACTAGCGATGGCAATTAGATGGGGACGGGTTTGTAGTACCCTATCTCGACCCAAATCATACAAGGGGTCAGACAATTTTGTAACTTTAAGAATGTTGATATTAATAAAAGTAAGAGATAGTATGATATATTACAAATAATGACTGTTAATTGATGAAAGTTCAAAAATGGAAAGTGAGAAATAAAAAAGTGAGAGTGAGTGCTAAGTATAATATTTTGATGTTATAGACTTACTACATTTGAGAATATTAAATTATATATATTCATATAAAGAGATTTAATAAATATAATTGAAGCTAGAGAAGATAGAATGAGGTGAGTAAAGGAAAATCCGAAAACCCAGTATGTCATCCCTTGGACTTAACCCAATTATTTGTCTCAACTTAACAATCTATGTTTTGAAATTAGGACAATGGTAGGTGACACCAACTTATCTAATAAAAAATGGCATAAGAAAGAGAAAGAGAACAAAAAAAGATACCCTGCAAACATCACGTTGAGTAAAATTGTAGATCCAACAGCTAGCCCAGCAAGCTCCCCAATCTGTGCATTAATTTGACAAAAGCAATAAAACAAACGTAATTATCAACTGATGATGTATTATAGTCCAAATCATTGCATCAATCCAGATAAGAATAAAAAGATTCGAAATTGTCATTCTCTTCTTGTATACTTTTCTAATCTAATCTAATCTAATCTAATATTATATCATAATTTGGACATCTTTGGCGTATATTAGTCAGTTTGATTAAATATATGACACAACATTTTAGACTAAGAAGGTAATGGGTTGACATCATAGCCACCCAACCCCTATGCTATCATATCATAAAATTGAGCACAAAACATATATGAATAAATAAAATTTTACAAGTTTTTTAGTGAAATTTACTTTTGAAAAATTTTATCTATCCATATACGTTATGTGTGTTGTTTATGATCGATTTATGTATTTGTGAACTTATTCTTATTATAATAAACAATGCTATTGGCTTAAAACCGACACTTGGGGCAGTTGTTGATTAAGCCCTGATGGGCCCTACTAAAATAACTTCTTTCATTTTTTGAAAAAAATTTATTTTAATTTGAACCAATTAAGTGAAGGAATAGAACTAACCGCTCGGTTATCGGTCGCCACACCGGATATCACAAACATGAGGTAGAATGTGATTACGAATTCTAACACGAAAGATTGCATGTCGGAACCGGTGGGAAGTGTTCCGGCAAAGTGATTTTGCGTCCCGCTAAAAATTAATCGAAGGGTTCCACTTGCTAGGGTTGATCCAAGGATTTGTGCCGCTAAATAAGCCGGTACCTAGCAACCGAAAATAAATAGGATCAATTATATAAAAAAAATTAATTGTGACTAGCAATCTAATAAATAAATAAATATATAAAAAAGGCAGAAATTATTGTGAGTTTTAAAACCTATTCTAACATTTTTTGAATTTAAAACACATTCATTTATGTGGATATTTCATGGCCATTAATTATAAAATAGAGATGTCCATTTCATTTATGACATGAAATCTGAATTCCAGTTACATAAAGTTCAAGTTACATTAGTAATTTTCCCATTCACAACATATAGTCATAAAGACTTTAGATGGAAAATTCATAGACAAATTGAGAAAGAATATTATGGTCAAATTACCATTTTACCCACTAATTTTCATCCAGTAGTGCTAGGAACATAGAAAACCAAACACAAAATGAACATAGTTGTCTCACAAAAGGCGGGTTCCATATATTGGTCTCACATCATGTGTATCTCATCTCTTACGAGACATTTGTGTCTATTTTGTGTTTAGTTTTAGACTTTTTCAATGTTTATCTCAATTTCAGATCCCGTATTAGTTGAAGCACTCGAAAGTACTTAATTTGAGAAGGGTATTTCTACCATGTCTCATGCATTTACAGTTATTCGATTTGATTTTCTTTAAAATCAAAGGACAGACGTGACTTTTTTGAAACAGAGAATTCCAACCCCGAGAAAATTGGTTAGTGTATTTTACCAATTTTGAAGAAAGAGGAAGTGGTAAATGTGAAATTTACCTGTTTCCAAGGAAACCTCTTGCAAGTAGCAAAAGCAATGGTGACAGCAGGGTTAAAATGGGCACCAGAGATGTGTCCGACTGAGTAAACCATAACCATCACCACCAGTCCCCACACAACTGATACTCCAGCGTGGCTCACCGCATTGTTCGAGGCTGCGTCTACAACCACCGCGGCGCAACCGGCAAATATTAAAAAGTAGGTACCTAGCACTTCTGCAATCACCTGTAAATTCAACAAAAATCATATTAAAAATATAGAAATATCTTTTTTGTTTTGAGGTTAAATATTTTACTCAAAAAATCACTATAAGTTGTCATATCATTTTTTAAAATTTTTTTTACATATTTTTTTATACAACGTTAAAAATTATTAAAATAATACATCCTCAGACGAAACCACACTTGTAGATTGTGCCACCGACGCATTTTTTTGTAAATCAAAATTTTAAATTTTACTGACCCATTAATCTATTAAGTATTGGGTTGAATAATTAATTTACAGAAATGCTTCCATCACTCCGACTTGAAGCCCAACTCTCGACTAAAAAATATAAATAAAATGAAGTGAGAGCTGCGAGCTATCACTTTAAATGAAAAATTTATCAAAATATTTCTTGATATAAAAAATGTCACTGGCACATTATATAAATCATAAAGAAATAATATTTCAACAATGTTGAGAATATATATAAAATATAAAATGAGACATAAATGTCTTACAAGTGATACGATCCACACATTATATAAATTATAAAGAAAAAATAATTCAGCAATGTTAGGAACACATAAAATATAAAATAACACATAAATGTTTTACAAGTGATACAACCCACATGATGTGAGACTCGTACGTAGGACCTACTCTACCCACATGATGTGAGACTCGTACGTAGGACCTACTCTTTATTATTAGACATTGTATCTTCATTCTGTATTGAATCATCTTTGCACTTAAACTCATTGATAGCATTTTCCAAAGAGTAATAGTACAAACTCAGAAAAATTTATCCAATAACACCAATGTTTAGTTTAGATTCATTCTAGATATAGACCCCACAATACACATTTTCAATCATCATCACATATTTCATTCTTGACCCAAATCTGGAACAGTAAGTCTGTGTTACTGTTTTCCAAATCCTATTCACCCATCAATTCAGAAGTCATTTTCTTTATACCTTTGTACAAATGGCAAGAATAGTCATTTTTACCTTTCCATACTCATTTTTTGGTTGATTGGATATATGTGACAATCACTGGTATTGAATTTTGAGGAATTTGATGAGTTCTATTAATGGGTTTGAGAAATTAGATGGAATGGAATCCATTAATCCAAGTTTAATTGGTGAGAAAATGAAGGCACGGAAAATTAAAAAAGAAAAAGAAAAACTTGTTGCTATCCTCTTTGGATCAAGAGAGAGAAACTTTCTAGTTTACCATGTTGAGTTCTATAATATTGTTTCCGAAATTGAAACAACAGAACTTTACTTCTATTTTTCATTTTTTTTTTCTTCTCTGAGTTTCTTAGCAACCAAACAGGGGTTAGTACTAATAAGATAAAAGTAGAGACAGAGAGAGAAAGACTAACCTTTTGGATGAAAGGTATAGAGATGATGCAGTCAGAGTCTTGATTGGTTTTGGGAGGGAGGTTGTTGTGATTCATATGATGATCACCATCTTTTATATCTAAAGTCACTCCATTTACTCCTGTTGAAACCTCAGCCATCTCTCACGGTTAGTTATCACAATTCAAGAACAGAGAGAGAGAGAGAGAGAGAGAGAGCGAGCTCAGGTATGGTTTCTAAGGTCTAAGGATGGAGTTAGCAAAAAACCAGCAAGGAATCTCCAATTTATAGGCACGCGGTTATCCAAAAGCTAGAGAGAGATATAGAGAGGAGAGTGTGTGTGGACTTTTTCATACGGAAGCGTTTGACTAGTTAGGGGTGGGTAAGTATGGACCCGATCCGCCAAATTGAATAGCTTGATGGTTTCAATGGTCTGACATGTAGATGTATTTTTTTAAAATACATCTAAGTTTGGATAGATGATAAATGGAAGGTTACTTGACTCAATCTGATGTATAATGAAGTTATACTTTTATGCTGTGTTAAAAAAATATTTTTTTAATAATTATATTTGTTATTTATGAAATATAAAAATTTGATATTTATTTTTATTATAAAAAAAGAAAATGTTAGAAATTTTAAATTTTTTAACTAAATAAATGATCAAATATCTTATATGGGTGTAGGGATATGAGACATTTGATTATTTATTTGATAGAAAATTTGGTATTTCTAACATTGCCTTATAAAAAAATGAACAATAAAAAATTTTAGACTCAAAATAATAAAAAATTAATGAAAAATAATTTAAAAAAAAGTTCAAAACAATAAAATTTAAACTGCCAAATCAATTTACATTCACCTATCAATTTGCAAGACCCACTCAATTTACACCCGATAACTAAATGGACAGATGTGAATTGATTTTTCTCAATTCACAAAATTGAGACAAATGACAGCCAGAAAATTATTCGACTAATCCGATTCGCGAGCACCTATAAGTCTAGTTTACTCTTTCATTTATTATTATTATTATTTTTTCTTTTTTGAATCTGATTTTTTGTTTTTGTTTTTATTGAAGAGATTTTGTTGAAAACAGTGATGGGTTGGTATTAGTCAGGAACAAAGAAAGCATTGAAGGCTTAGGCTGCCTCAACAACCCACCGGAAATACAGAAAGTAATGAATGTTTTTCTTTTTCTTTTTTTCTTTTTTTTCTGGCTAATTATAAAAAAAAAACCCTTAAAATTTCACGCATTTTACATTTTAAACTCTAATATTTTAATTTCGATAAATTAAATCTTAAAATTCCATCCACGTTTCAATATGCCTCTTCCATTCATCTCCGTTTGTGTAAGGTAAATGAAGGGGTTCAAAGTGAAAAATATATGAAACCTTAGGATTTATTTTGTAATTAACTTTTTTTTTAATGATTTTAATTTATAAAAAATCATTAATTATACAAAAAAATTTCAAGATTTCACGCATATTCACTTTTAAATCTCAATATTTTTCACTTTAAATCCCCTCCATTACTTTATACAGATGGAGATGAACAGAAGGGGTACATTGAAATATGGATGAAACTTTAAAGTTTAATTTATCAAAATTGAAATATTAGGTTTTAAAATGAAAAATATATGAAACTTTGAGATCATTTATATCATTAAAATATATAATATTTTTTTAAAATTTTAATTAAATTTTAATAATTATTTTTAAACAATAAAATTATCGGAAATGAGCCGTAGCTCGAATCCAATGGCTCAAATTGGCTCGAAAGAGGGAGAGAAGAGAGGAGGAAGAAGCAGAGGAGGAAGAAGAAGAGAGGAATAACAGAGGAGAAAGAGGGAGAGAAGATCGTCCCCGCTCGCCTCGCCACTGTTATCGCCGTCGCAACACCAGTAATCGCCGGCTCTGCCTCGCCTCCACCCCCGGCCCCCGCTTCCAGCCTCAAATGTTGGGCCCCCTCCAGTCCCTCCTTCTCCTCCCCCTCCAGTCCCTCCTCCTTCCTCCTTCCTCCTCTTCCCCTCCTCCTCCTCCTCCCTCCCCTACTTCTGGTTCTGCTTCACCTTCATCTAAAAAACGAGGCCATTTTTTAATTCGAGCCATTTCGAGCCGCTCGGTTTCGAGTTACCTATCACTGCCGTAAAATTATTTATAAATATCTATATTAACAGTAATAATCAATAGAAAGTGACATATAACACTTCTCTCCTTTTTTATTTTCAGCACTGATTGGTGACCCGAAAAATCATGGCTCGAAACACTTAAAACGATGTCGTTTTAAGTGTAAAACAACGTTGTTTTGACACATTCGAACTATTCAAATCACAAAAATTCAGGTCACCAAACATTTCCCTTTTATTTTCCTTAGTACGAGTTTTGAATTTGGATATCACATCTTATACACAGACATGCCTCATTCATCACGCAACCTTGGTCTTAAAATCTAAAAGACATAAAATGCCTTTAATGAATTCTTATATTAATAGACATTATTAATAATTATTTTATTTTTTTGATTTAATTCATGAGTACCGTGAGAAATTCCAAATGTTTTATTAATATTTTTACTTATATCTCACATAAGTGTGAGACTCACATAGGACCCACATAGTATGGATCCTACACCCATATAAGACATTTAGTAAAAATATTGGTAAAACATTTGGGATCCCTAATATTTTTCTTAATTCATTTAACATATTATAATGAAATTCAATGAATTACAATAATAATAATAATAATAATAATAATAATAATAATAATAAAAATATCAAATACAAAAAAAATATCAAATACAATACATAATCAATACTAGAAAAAAAAAAAAAAACACAAAGAAACCCTCAAAGTAGGGGAGAAAGTTTCAATAAATGAATAATGCATATTGTGGGGATATATTTTTGAGTACCAACACGTGGCAAGGTAACGCCGACGTGTCAGCCAAGGTGCCACATGTCCTGGTCAATATGCCGAGGTCATCTCGGTTAGGCCGAGATTATCTCCGAAGATATCGGAATCCGAGATAAGCGGATAAGGATAAGGGACAAGAGTCCTAGAAAAGAAGAGACTTAGCCAAGATAAGGATAAATCTCTTAGAGAGTTTATCTTTATCTCTTGAGGAGTCCAAAGTAAGTACTGAACAGGAATCCATAGAAGTCAGGCTTCTAGTGGGACAAGGATTGAGTTAATTATAAAAGAGAGGCACCCCCATGGGTCTAAGGTACGCAATTTATATTCTGTCTAGTGAGTTAAGCACTATTGATTATCTATGAGAGATATACTGACTTGATCGTCAGAGTGCCCCCGGGTGGACGAACCACCGCTGGAATCTTCTCTTTCTGTTACAGGTTAGCCAGGTGTCATCTATTCTGCCAGTGTTCTCTGGTTGAATACTGAGTCAGGCAGTGTGATCAGAAAATCACTCACACAAATTGGCGTCGTCTGTGGGAAAGAAATGAGAATAGATGGCCAGTAACGGACAGAAAGAAAAGGTTGGGGACGACACTCCTGCTGGGAGCGGGAGACCAATTGACCTTGATATCACAGGAGACGAATGCAACGCAGAAACTCATGACCAAAATCGCAGAGTAAAAGACGTCGGCCAGACTGGCGACGCACCAAAGAAATCAGATCAAAGTGGGTACTACAACGAGGACGACCTCCAAGTATGAAAGGATAGGTGCCTGCGGAGGGACGAAGAGGTAAGAGATATGGCAAACAAATTGGCAGACCTACAGTCGGTCGTCAATTTCATGATGCAAAATAACGTCATGCAGCCACCATTTCCACTGCAGGACACGCCGATTCCAGCGGCCAATACCCAGAAAGGAGGGCAGAAAACAATCCCCATAGCCCCTCAGTACAACGGGAGCGAAAGATACTCTCACCGACCTTCTAGGGAGGTCGGACGAAGAGAGTCAAGAAGAGAAGAATCACGGAGGACGCATCGCACAAATGAGGTAGACCCCAAAGGACATCGGCATGTTCAGGGGCAGGCACTATGCTTCGACACAACTCATGGAGAAGGGTCGAAAAGGGCTCACCACAAGGCCGAGAGTAGTATACCAAAAAGACTAAAGTCAAAAGATAGCCGAGCTCCTGGGCGGAGCAAAGAAGACTTAAGAGATTACCTCAAGAGAAAGCAACAGAATGCCTACGCCAAGGTAACCTCCCCAGATAAGCCGAGGACACCATTCTCGGTGGAACTAGACAGGTTTGAAGCACCAAAGAGATTCAGTATACCAAGGTTCGAAATATATGATGGTAAGTCAGATCCCAACTTTCACGTTGGACTATACCTGAATTCAATGGCATTATATAGTGGGAACGAGCCGTTGCTCTGCAAAGTATTCCCCTCATCCTTCGGGGAGATTGCATCAGGAAGGCTTGGCTGAGATGTTTGTGGCCAGGTTTGTGACAAACAAGCTGCAGCCATTAAGGGTGGACGCATTGATGGCTCTAAAGATCAGCAAGGATGAAGGCCTTAGGGCCTATGCAAAAAGATACTATGAGGTGTTCAATCGAATACCCGAATGTAATCAAGAGGTAGCAATCGTATCTTTCAAGAACGGCTTGAAAGACAACTGTCCACTACGAAAATCTTTGGAAAAGACATTGCCAAAAAGTATGGAGGAGCTCATGGTGAGAATCGAGAAGTACGCCAGAGCCGAAAAAGACACGTCGGGAACTAGGAAGATAAAACAAGAGAAAGGAAACGGCTCGCCGAAGCGAGGCCGAGGTAACAATGGAACGAGCAGGCAAGAGACAGAACTGAGGGCCACACAAGTAGTAACAACTGTGTTCCGAATCCCAATTCCCAAAGTCTTGGATCAAATTCGGAACTAGCCCTATTTCAGAACGCCAGAGAGGACTCCAGGAGAGTTCATGGGAAGAAACATTGGCAGGCATTGTGCCTACCACAATGAAGATGGGCATACAACTCAGGGTTGTAGAGCCCTGAAAACATATGTGGAAGACCTGGTGAGACAAGGACATCTGAGAGACCTTGTCGATGAGACCAGGACAAGAAAAGAACGGGCAAGATTGCCTCAGGCACCAGCAGCCCCACCGCCCCCAGCACAGTAGCCGCAGGCAGGAGGACCTCGGGTAATCAACGTAATCCACTCGAAGGTCAACGAAACAAAATCCGAGGAGAGACCCAAAAGATAAAACACCTACAACATGTCTACCAAGTCGGGGAGAAAAGATATCGGGCAGAAGAGTGCCAGGGACCAATGATAACCTTTACTGAAGCCGACCTAAAGACGGTCCAGCATTCGCACAATGATGCCTTGGTAGTAT